ACACACACACACACACACACACACACACACACACACACACTATATAAACAAATTTTTAAATTTACAATTATATGATTTACCTATATAAACTAGAGCAATACTAAACTTGACTTGTCAACACTCGTAATTTAAATATTCTATTACTTTAGCATCGCGTAACATTTGTGTGCAATTCTCATCTCTAGAGAAATCTGATTAATTTGCATTGCGAAAACTAAACTTGATAAGTCGATGAAACAAAAGAAATGAGAAACAAATAAAGGTCAAATCGATTTCGAACTGATTTGCTTGCTCTATTCAAATAATAATTCATTGATGTAAAGAGATAGAAACCAACTATTCGTTCCCACGATACAAGCGTCGAACCACTAGAACCACGTGCTCACACAATGCGATTTACACTATTTATTTTAAATACACGTACTGTCTCGCTTTGGATGAATGTTCTTTCACATAAGTTTGAAGCAGCAGCAAGAACACGATGCTCGACAAGTGTTTCAATGATTCGCTTACGCCTGGCAAGTCGTAGGATTTGTTTAAATTTGCGCGTCCGTGTCGCAGGTAGTGATCAACCAGTGTATAAAAACGAGACGTTCTTGTACTTACGAAGGGTGCGTGTAGTCTGATGTACAGTTAAAAAGAGACACCAAACGGTGTGTCGTCGTCGTTGAGATGATTGTGATGGTGGCGGTAGAGGTAGTGGTGGTGGTGGCAATGGTGATTGTGGTGGTGGTAACGGTGATAGTGGTGGTGATGGTGGCAATGGTGATATTGATGATGGACTATGGTGATTTTGCAAGTAGCCGCGGTGAGATTGACCGTAACCATGACGACATTGATGAATTTATCATATGCTGTCCTGTAATAAAAAAAAATAGAGTACAAGTAAATATTCAAACCATTATTTTTTATTTGGAGAAGATATAAGACAACAATAATCAAACATTGATTATTGAGATAATGAAAAAAAAAAAAAAAGTTCTATTGTCAAATCCTCGACGAATAAATGACGGAAAATTCTCAACGATAAAATGTCGTAAGTATAAAGGTCCGTGAGTACGGAATACATTTGAAATACAAAGTATAAAAGAATAATCCGAAGCGTGCACTGCTACAGGACATTTACTCACATAATATGTACGTACGTATATACACACGTACAGGTGGTATATCGTTGTACCAAAGGTAGTCGACCAACCAGGAAGTGATCACGGGCAACTGGTCACTCGCCGGAATTCTGTCCGTTGCGATTACACGCAATTTCTGTGTAGTCTGTTTCAAAATTGAAATTTCTCTCGGTATAATGACACACTAGTAAAACGGGAATTTTCTCATGCGAGACATTATTCAATAAAGAAAAATCGCGCGTGTAGTCCATAAAGCAAATGTCTTCCAAATTCTTCTTTAGTTTAGGCTTTTCTTCTTGCAACACGTCCCTTTATATTGCGTGATTCTTTCAGAAACGAAACAGTGCAAACGTTAAGCACATTTTACAATTGCAAAATAGCAAGTTCTTTGACAACACATTTATTGTCTCTGCTTCTCCAGCTCGTTTCGTTATTTCATCACGTTTTACAATTTAATCGTTGTACGTCACTACATTTGTAAAAATGAACGGTACAACTTCCATAAAGATGTCGATATTCGGATCTAGACTGCGACCCAGGCCTTCGATCACTACCATACTGAGAATCACGTTGCTGAAGGTTCCGTCTTGCTTCACTCGATGCCGAACCATCGCGGAAAACAATTCAGTCACAACGGTACTCACACTCACCTGCAACATTTTAAGACGTTCGTTGAAAATGTCTTCGTCGATCTCGGCCATTGCTTTTCACACTCGTGTCTTTAAAAATTACATTAATTCTACTTTGAAGATGCGAATTTACGATGTCTTTCATTGTACTTTTGAAACCTTCTGGGTCCGAGGATACGCATGAACTATGTTCCAGAATATGTTCCGCTGCCAATTCACCCTAATAAAATTAATAAATTAATTAGTACATGGAAGAGGAATCGAAATAAAAAGAGGAGAGAAAGCAATAAGCATATGTATGTACATTTCCCATAAGCACCGATCGAAAGACATCTTTAAGATTTCGTCGACAACGATCATTTAAAGACACTACTAAACCGCAATCGAGTATGACTATACGTGGATAAGTTGGTAAGCAAGTCCGAGTGATAAATTTCCGAAACCAAGTGCTAATTTTTCCAGTTGGTTCGCGATTCGTTTGTACCAAGATATTACCAGGATGCAAGTCACAATGGATAAAATTGTCCTTGAATACCTGTTATTTATAAGGTAATTTTAATTGCAATTAAAAAAATCAACCAATTCCTCGACATATATATTAAGAGTTAACCATTTTCAAAATCGTTTTAATCCCTATTTTAGCCAGTTTCCCTTGCAGCTTCGTATCACGAGCGTCAAGATAATCGGAAATTGGAGATCCTTCGTGAAAACTTTCCACGAGAACCTCGCACTGAGTAAAATTTGTATAAGGCCGTGGAAATATGACGTCTCTTTTCTTGGAGAAATTTTTTGAAAATTGAATCAAATTCTGTGCTTCCAAATTCATGTCGACCTTTCGACAAGAATTAACGTGCGATTAAGATAAATATCCCAAGTAGAGTTAAATAGGATGATTGAGATTTATGATCTATCCAGTTGATGCTCACTTGATTTTCCATTATCTGTGAAAATTCGTCGATGCAGTCGGTAAGACTGAGCCATTGCAATTGCGGCATGATGTATGTCGCGCATTTACAAATCCCTCTCATTATAAAAAGATCTCTTCTAAATTAAACGACAAAGAAAAACGATCTAGAGATTCGGGAAGATTAGTCTGTGTTTCCCGCTATACACCGTGATATATCTCACACCTTAATTGCCCTTTAATTCCAGGATGTAAAATTTTCACCGCTACTGGCTGCAGCTTCCGATTAATACACGCGTCGCTGTTCGCATCATCAACATCAGCGTTCAATATTTTCTCTGAAATTGGTTTTTTATCACTCGAAACGTTCAGACTGTGATAATAAGACTAAATTCAATCTTTTGTATATTTACCAATGAAACTGATTAACGAGCCAAATTTCAAATATTCGATAACTGCAACATATACATACATTTAAATGCACGTGTTAAGAACTTACGGAAGCACGAAAGCGTTATTTATTTTTCGTTGACGTTTGATCATGTATTAAATAAGGCAAAGGAAAGAAACTGTGTATTTAAATGATTTACTTCGAATGAATAGAGGTATTTCAGGTTTCCGCGTTATATCCACTCGAGCATTCAGATCCACCCATGCTTTGTATACCTGCCGATCGGACAGGAATCGAAACGATTTTTGAACTGGTAGAATACAATTTACCGATCAAACTCGATCGTTTTAGTTTCGTTTTTATACCTGAGCACAACATCCTGACCCGATAGGCGTTTCGCGTTCGAATTTTACAAATATGTCTCTCCAGTTCGAACCGTATACTGTTTTAAGCAGTTGCTTCGTATAAATCCAAGAATGCGCGGAAGCGCTCTGTTGCAATTGCGACAGCGTGCGGCAAACATCTTCGGGGAACAAATCTTTCCTCGTGGACGCCCATTGACCGAATTTTATAAAAATTGGTCCAAGAAATTCGATGCCTACAATCGCAACTTATACTGCCTCTGATATGTACATTTCTCTTCGACTTAATAATAAATGAATAATTACCTCTTCGAAGGATCTTTGGAAACACGTATCTGTGCGTAAAACGTGTGACGAAATATACGATAGCCAATCCAGTTAGAACAGAACCGATCACGAAAATTCTCGCGACAATTAAGATCAGGCCGAGGATACTTTCATATTCCGAGCTGTTCGTCAACAAGTTATTTCCATAAATTTGCATTTGATGTTGTGGCTTGTAAGACAAAATGAGAACAGCTTTAACAGCTCGCTTCGAACTCTCGATATTGCTGATAACGCTTCTCGGTATCGATCGATGAAATCGTATCGGAGCTACGTATCTTCTGCTTCGCCATTTCTCACCCTGATTCCGGAAGAATTTGTTGAAACGAAACACTCTCGAAAAATTCGTGTAAAAAGTCATTGTAGGTCATTAGTCGTGTTCAAACGATGGTTTTGCCATGATAGGATTATCCGTCGATTACTTATG